ATATGCTAGCATGCATCTGTGTGTGAATACCCACAGGCAAAAAAGAGCCAGGGCTCTTCTAGAGTGGGAGAACTTGCTTCATCATTTATTTATATGCTTCAACACTTGCATTTTCATGAGGCTTAGATATTTCATGTATTTGCCAGAACAAACACAGCACAAGACTCTTCTAAGCTGTTGATGAAATCATTAAGGGGCACTGTGTCTACTTTTGATTTTCCACATCTTTGAGTGTACTTTGAGATGTGTACATAATATCTGGCACTCACAGGCACCATGTGGATTTGTGACGGTCTTGGGAGCACTGAGTCTCCACAAAACAATGTCTTGATCACATCCAAGCACAGATGTTGTTTGTTTGTCTGTTACAGGTGTAGCATGAATGATACTTGCTTGTTGAGCCATACAAGCCATGCTCTCATGAAAACTCATTCTTTAAAGTTACAAATAGTTAATTTTAGTGCACTGGTTTGGAAAACACTGCAGTAAACTCTCTTGAAAAGAGACTGAAGTATACAAATAAGGGAGTTATGTGTGGAGGGGAAGTGGACAGCATTTTTTTAATGGCATATTCAGTGTCTAACAAACCTTATGGTTTTGTCAGCAGTGTCAGGATTTTGTGTCTATATATATATATTTATTTTAAAATCCTAGCTGCTGGAAGGAAGCTATTGCATAAGAATCTCCATTTTCTCATTAAAAAAAAAAAAAAGTTTCTAACCCTCATGGTTGCTTAGAAAAACATGAAAACATGAGCTGAATGTTCCAGATAGAATGTTGAAATCAAAACCAAACACAATGGAAAACTTGGTTCATAGCTTTAAAATCCAGACAGCAAATAAACAGTCTTAGATTGGCTTAGAAATTCTGCAGTTTGGAAATGTATCAATATCTGACTTTTGGGACCTGAGTGCTGGCATGAGGGCACATGTGATTTTGGAATCAGAGTTTAGTCTCCTTTTGGTTAGGCAATACTGATTTTTATAAAAAGTAAATATTTCTGTAAAATAAAATATTGTATTTCTCTGGTGAGAAGACCTTTTTAAAAACTTTCTTTAGCATTGTTTGTGTCTCTTGTTTTGTTTCTCTACAAATTTTGTTTTGTTCTGAGTTGAGAATTCCATCCTGAATCTCTTTTGGTTCATGCTTCTTTCCCTTTTGACTTCAACGTTTCTATCTGGAGATTTCCATTTGTTTGGGTTTTGATGTTGCCCTTGGATTTGGTGTTTTCTTCCTTTTCTCATTTTGGCTTCTTCATCCTGTTCTTTGCTTTTCAGCCTTGTTTTGAGCTGTTGCTGGAAAATTCCACCTTGGGTGGTGGGTGATGTTGCACCTGGATATTGCTTTTTATCAGCTGAGTGCGTGATGTTTCCGAGTGGCTCAGTGCAGCTACTCAAAGTCACATTTGAGCTCATCTTCTCATGACTGGGGAAATTGGCTTGCTTTGTTTTTCCAGAGGAGATGACTGAATTTTTGGTGAAAGACATGCACAATGTAGGAATTCATGGAGAGAGAATTTCAGTTCTCCAAGCGGAACTGGCTCTTAGGGTCTGTAGTGGTGAATTTTGTGGCTGTACTACTGGTGAAGCTGTTGGGTGGTGTGAGAGAAGTTGGAGGATGAAAACCAGAGATCTTTATCTCTTCTATCCCCAACTTGTGTGACATGGGAATCACGATTATGTATCCATGCTGCAGCCTTCAGACCAGGTTTTTCTTGCACTCCACTTCTGGAGCTAACAGGCAAATTCAAGCTCAGATGCTGCCTTGGCTCACACTGTGGTGCTTTTTGAAAGTTGGAAGATGTAGGTTTAAACATATTTGCTGTGGGCCTAAGATCTTGTTCTTAGAAGCTGGCTGGATTGGGCACAGCCCCATCCACAGCAGCTAGTATGAGCTTAGTCCTTCCAAAATGACTATTTAGAGCTCAAGCTAGCAGCCAGCAACGAGAACAGAAACCCTGTTGTAACCCAGGCCTTCACCCTGCCCTTTGTCTTGCAGAAGAGTTCCCTTTTCTGACCTGACTGACTGACTCCAGATTTTATGTCATGAACTGTATTCTCTATTTGCAGAATGAAAATAAAGGCTCTGCAAAGCCCTGGTTAGTGGAGTCCCAAGGAACAGCAGTGGGATGAGTATGACCTATGTGGGAAGCTCATGGCAGGAGTATGTGTTGGGGAGGTCGTGGTCCTGGGAAGGTGAGGAACCAGGCTATAGCACTGTCCAAGGCTGACAGCCCAGATGAAGAGGATCCTGAGACACGGGTGACAGCTGTGGATGCATGAATGAAAGAAAGGCATGATGGTGCAAAGCTACTATATCTCTGCATAGCTCAGCTGCAGATGAAATACTTTATTTGGAGCCTGTACAGCTAGCGGATTTTTTCCAGAGATTGTCATCCTGCTCTAAACCTGTCCCGGACTGTTTTGGAAAGGGTATGGTTTCTCCCCTAGATTGTGGGAGGCAGATGGCTTCCTGTGTGTCTGCATTTAGGGGAGAAACCCCAGGTGGGCGTTAAGTGCTTCAACACAGAATTGAACTCTGCAACAACCCTTACAGACAGACATCTCTCAGCTTCTGTAGTCAGGATCTCAGCGTTTAGGACCATTTCTCCCCCAGGGAAATTTCACCTAGGTGAAATGTTTTTAGACCATCATCATCCAGTGTTTAAGATGAGACAAAAGTACTATCCCTGGTGTGATTTTTCTTTTCCCAATGTCTTGTTATTTTGTTAAGGTCAGAAATCCACAGAATAAGATCTGCGGCTCTGAGCATCATATATGTGAGCTAGAAATGCCTTAACAATAGGCAGGCTTGCTAGAGCTTATTTGTCAGAGTCCTTGTCTTCAGAGCTTAAGCGTCTGTATCTATCATCCTGTAGTTTATCCTGTAGTAGACTCATGGCTGTCCAGGGCTTCAAGGCCATATGGATAATTCAAGCTCTCCATATCCCATCTAATTCAGGACTTTCCCAGCATGATTAACCTCAGATAGCCCTGTATGTGCTGGGTGGAAGGCAAGGGCCGATGCATGCATTAAGCAATGTATACAACAGGCTGCCAGAAGGTAGGGGCAGGGTTAGCTTTACTCCCATTTTAAACCAACAAAGAGAGGTGCCTCCAAAGTTTAGCTGCTGCAGACTGCACAAGACCCTGAGTAACCTAATCAGTCTGGATCTGTTTTGAGCAGGGAGCTGGACTTGATGACCTCCAGAAATCTCTTCCAACCTGTATTACTCTATGATAAATTCAGCAGCATTATATTGGAGGGGACCACGTAGGAAATCTGTGACAGAACCAGTGCATCTGTTAACAGACCCTGCATCCTGCCACCGAGTGAGGCTGTGGCAGGCCCTAAGGTAGGCTGACCTATCTCATCTTGAATAAATAAAAGCAAGAGAGGCATAGCTGGGAAGAGAGAGAAGTAGGGAGAGGCATTCCTTTGAGCCATGCCTCATAGCACAGACTGACTTATCTGTGTTTGCCAGGCTTTAATAAGTAAGTGATGTGTGCACATATTTCAAGAGGAAGCTGTTGGGTGGCATATAGTGATTAGAAGCACTTGAGCAGGCAGAGAGAGATATAGACAGGTTAGAGGTGGCATGGCCAGGTCTATGAAGATACTGTGGCACTGCTGGTCTCCAGAGCAACTGGTTGCCCACTTCTCAAAACACTCATTTCTGAACTGCTACTTAAAATTCCTAAGTGAGGAATTTGCAGAAAGCATGACCTTAGAATGGGGCTGGTGGGACTCAGAATGTTTGCTGGGGCAAGATGCAGTAGCAGAATGAGTGAAAAATCCTGATTATTATTTTTCTTTACAGGCTTTCTCAGCTTCTCCTCAAACTCTGAAGTGTGTTGAAGTTTGACCATCAGAGCCCAAATTCGTGATCTGTGGTAGATCTGAGAGGAGTGGTTTCTGACAGATCTGATGTCTTCAGTGCTTATTTCTCCTTCCTTCTCCTTGCCCAGCCAGGGTGTTGTTGCAAGGTGTCTGTGATGTTTCTCAGCAGTGTTGTTGATATTTGCCAATAATGCCTGTGCCTGGTTGCTGGGTTTGTTTGGGAGTGGCTTGCTGGAATACTCTTCTCTGAGAAACATCTCCTGTGGGGGTATTTGTTCTCTGCAAGGAGTTTGGGTTTTCCTTTTCTTTTAATACCAGGTTTGCTGTGTAAGAGCATACAGAAAATCTGATTTTTGGCCATGTTTTGTAATATTTGCTTGAAATTGGCTGATCTTGTAAATATTCTTGCCAATAAATTTGAGTGTGTCAACAGAGAGAGTGAATTTCTCTCATGGGGGATAGTAAGAAACTTTTTCAGTGCTGGGGTATAAGGGATCTACTAAAATGTCTAGTTTCTTGTTAGAATATGCGTAGGACAGAACAGGTAAAATACAACTCCTTGATATCAGAAATGGAAGAGACCCTGAGTATCCATTTTGTCCATTTCCCTGTCTGCATGCAGGGTTAATCTAAGTAAAACCTTGTAATAACCATTTGTCTGTCCATTGCCTTTCCTGGCAAACTGCTTCACATCTGAACAGGATAAACCAGATGTGCCTCTTCCTGCTGTGTTTGTAGGGAATCTGGATCTGTTGTTTCATTGCATGCTGAAGGGCATGAATTCATTCCAGAATAAACTGATCATGCATGTGGTTTATTTGTCTGCACGTTTGTGCTTCAAACCCATGCTTGAGTGACTGCCTCATGGGTCCCCCCCTCTTTCCGTGGTCCCAGAATTTTGGGGTTTGGGAGCATTTGTCAGCAATTGTTCTTTGGAGCATTACATCACCATCCTAATGAGCTGGGGAAAAGTTTGTCTGACCTGGGAATGATAGTATTTTGGGAGAATTACTGAATGGCTTGGCAGGGTGTTTTTACTGCAAAGATGCTCAGGTGAAATGTCATGATGTATTTTCACAGTGTAATACTGCACATATTTACATTTCTGACCCCATTCCTTGTCTGGGTTGTTTTTGTAAGCCCTAGTCTTTGCAAGTTTTGTGCTGTGCAAAGGAGGGAAGGTTAGCCCTCTCCTTACTAAGGCTAGGAGATGCGTTTCTGTCCTACAAAATACACATGTGGCTAAGGCACTGCCATGTTCCTCATGATGTCTCCCACCACCTTCCTTCCACCTGTCCTCTGCACCCCCCTCTGCTATCTATACAAGCCCTAAGAAGCAAGTCCTAACTGGTAGGATTACTTATTGATGTGCATTGGAAGATCAGGGCTTTTGGAGCGGGGTGCTGACTTTGTCCTAGGGACAGCAGGTGAGGAGTAACTTTGACACTGCAACATGAGGAGGCCAGTGATCTGGAAGACTGCAATTTTGGGTTGCTATAGACCTGGAGACCGTGTGTCACCTGGTGCAAAGAGTTGGTGCGCAGGCCCCATGACCTGGGGCAGAGGCAGAAAGTAGTAAAGGGAGGTGAAGCCAGGGCTTTCTGTCTTCTGCTAAATGAGATGTAATGCAATGATTTTTGCATTCCAGGGTGATCCTGTTGTCCTTTGGTATGCATCAGCAGATATGAACATTGTTCTGAATCTTCTGAAGTCTGAGAAGCCTGAGAGAAACAGATGGTTTGATTTGTAGCAGGAAAGAAAAAAGTGTGGAAAAAATAACTGTTAGAAATCTATTTCTATCTCTCACCTCCAATAAAACTCTTTAGGGTAATATGCAGAAAGTGTAGTTTTGGAAGGAAAGGAATCTACCTTTGCATACATCCTGGGACAGCTGTGAACTCAGCTGAAATGGGTGGAGCCAAGTAGGAACACAGGGGCAGTGCTGAACTTTAGGCCAGGAGATGTGTCAATGCAGAAAGAGCAGATGGCTCCCTAGCTTTTATATCTCTTGGTAGTTAGTCCCTAGTGCGCATGTGTTTTTGGAGGTATATCCCTGAAGCATCCAGAAGAGTCAAGGAGATAGTCCCCATATGAAGGAGAACTGGCTCTGCTTGCTTATTCAGCTCTCAGACACCAGCTGGATGTGACCTGTTGGCATCTGGGAAACTTCCAGGCTAGGTCTCTGTCTTTGATAAAATATATATGGCAAATGGATGATAAAAACTTACCATTTAAGGGGGTGCGTGTGGGGGTAGTGGTGGAGAAGTCCCATCTTTTATAAGCCAGGGCCTTTGCTTAAACAGACAGTGGGTTCTTGCAATAGAGATAGTACTCTGGCACCTGCACTGGCGGATTGTTTACTTGCCATGCCATGGGACATGCTGTTGAAGTATCCTCATGCCTGGACTTCTGCCACAGGATAATCAAGTGGGTCTTATGTTCCCTTGTTTTCCAACAGGTGTCATGGAGAGACTGAGAAAACTTTGGCCTTGGCACAGCTGTGGACAGGACTGTGCTTGTCGGGGCTTTGCAAGGAATGTGGTCTCACTCGTGACCCCAGATGCCTTCACAGAATCTGGCATCTCTCTGCACTACCTCCCCTTCTGCACCTGGTTCATCTTGACTCCACTGTACTCAACATTGGGGATGTTGTGTTACAAAGATGTCTCACTGGAGAGCACTTCCTCACGGTCATGCCCCAAGTCAAGGTGTGGCAGGTTACCAGACCAGCTCCGTGTTTCCTGGTTTGTGTTTATTGCTGTAGATGCTGTAGATCCGTAGCTGCCTTTACTTCACATCACACTCTCTGCCGTGGGATTGCAGCTCCAGGTAAATAACAAGCCTTCCTGGGAATGTCGGTCAGATGGGTTTTACCCAGCCTGATCCCAGCTGAGGAGGAGTGCTGAGCTTGGCTGAGCCACAGGGCTTACATAACACACCATATCTGGCCGCTTGCAACAGTGGGGAGGGTTGTCTGATTGCCAGGGTGGGCAAGAAGGGAAAGAAGGCAACTTCCTGACCATGCTGTGAATATTAGAGAAAAGATACATAAGTGGGTTTTTGGGAAGGGGAGATGACAGGCTTCCATCCAGTGAGACACTCACGCAGTGGAGTTGCAAGGAGTGCTCCCTTGTCACATGGTCAGAGGAAGGGTTGGATTGGTGCCCAAGCACTGAGGTGAACGGAATGAAGGCAGGGACTGAACTGGGACATTGGCCAGTGTGTTTTCATGGATTGGGAAGGAGAGGAAAAAAAGAGACTTGCCAGCTTATGTTGAGTACCTGCAAGCAAATGTGAGGGGTCTGCGAAGTTTTATAGGGCTGGGCTGGTCCTATAGGTCTCACAGAGAAGCCAAAGGATAAAGCAGATGAAATGTATGTGTGGTTCTGTACACACCCTTGCCCCTTCTTTTTTTGTCTACTGAAAGTGCAGTACTCCTACATAGGAAGCATAGAGCTTGTGGTAGTTGCTACTTCATTTCAGTGGCTTGGCAGGTTTTGTTGACTGTCATAAGGGCAGTGGTTAGATTTGGACAATGTTCTTTAAGGACCTTGTCGTCCTTCACAGGGTAACTCTTCAGAATTCTTTATGCCCCCTTGAAAGTTATCATTGTTTGTGCCTGTGCTTTTAGATGTCATTTTGCCTGCCTCTAAGCACTCAATGTATTATAAAACTGCAATTCAATTTTTCACTCTTAAAACTCCCACTGAGAGAACTGGTTGGTGATCAGGGCAGGTATTCAGCTGTGTCAGTCTTCACAGGATGACTTCTTTACAAAACAGGCAAAACCACAATTACAGCTAAAGCCTCTTATTTCTTCTATTTAATTGTGTATGGCTGGCAGTGAGGATGTCAGTAAGACAATTTCAATAAGATTGAAAAGGTTGAAATGTCTTCAAAAAGACAACTTCAATAAGAAAGCAGTGAGGTTCTTTTAAAATTGATATTAATGGGAATAGACACATGGAGAGAGATATGTGAGAACTACTTCCAGCCTAGAAGCAGCAGCTGCAGAAACAAGTGTTACTTGTTTATCAAGACCATGGTGTGCCCAAGAGAAAGAAAATGCATGAGGCTGGGATTCAGCAGCTGGATCCCTGGGCTCAGCCCTGCTAATGGTTGCCTGAGAGCACTAGGTAAATCATCTCACTTCTTTCTTCCCATTCCCTCCAGTCACTTACACTGGGTGCTCCCTGGGACGAGTTTTGTCTCATGAAGTTGAGAGCTAGCCAACCACTCTCATTTTATGGGCCATGTCCCCAAATACCCACATGGCCTGGGACTTCTCTGTCATCCTGAGACCAGCTGTTGGTTTACTTCTGCTTGCTTTTTTTCTTTCCAGAATCTCTAACCTCAACTGTTTGGCAACTGAATGACTCCTAGAGCAGCAGACACTTTTTCACCACTTAAATCCAACGGTGCAGGCATCACAACAGAGGATGGCTGCTTGTGGGGACTGGTTGGGCTGTTGTTTTCTTGAGCATGGGTAAGAGGGTTTTAGAGAAAGTGGCTTTCATGTGGGGTCAGGGTCAGAGAGGACTGCAGTGGCAATTACTCTGTCTTCAGTGGGACTGCCCCCGCTGGCCACAGGTTTCAACTCTTCTCATCCCAGCAGTGAGTCACATGTGACTGAGCTGGTTAGGCCCAGGCAGGGAAGGGAAAACAGCAAGGGATCAGAGTTGGAGGCATCTCCAGACCCTGCCTGATCTCCAGGCTGGAGTCAGGAGGGGAGAAGAACAGGGGCAGCTTAGAGGTTCCTCATGTTTCCTTTTCCCCATGGCCACTCTCTCAGCCTCTTCTGTTCTGTGGATTCCCTGCAAACCCCAGCTCTGCTTTGTGCAAAGGGCTGTGCTTCCCCTGGTAGTGCTCCTCCCATAGTGAGAACCCTCTCTGCTCTTCCTTCCCTGTACCCTCTGCTAGGGGATGTCCAGTTACACAGACACTATGTCTTAAGAACAGCCTTTTGGCTTAATTCAGTGATCATCCACATTGCTCCACCTGCCTTTGACATGATGTTCCCCTACCCATGTTGGCTATGGAAACCCCCTTGGGAGGGCCCCAGTCTTGCTCATGATGAGGCAGATGGGGTTTCTAAGCAGCCTAAATTATCTCTTAATGGACTTTTAGAAGCAGATGTAAGAGCTCCTGGGTTTCAGGCAGCAGAAGTAATGTGTAGATTTTCTCTGCATCTTTTCTGCTATAATCTGTATCATTGTAAGAGGTCTGCAACCTTCTTTTTCTCTTCTAAAGCAGCCTGCAAACTAGCATTCATAATAGAAAGAGACTGTTTTAGTTTCTCCTGTGATTCTGGAAACTAGGGTGCTAGCAGGCGCTTTGATCTGGCAGTGGGAGAGAATGTACTGAGTTTGACCTAAGTTAGAACCACTCCTTTACATCTGTGCAAGTAGAGGGGTGAATTATGTCCAAAACTGAGACTGCTGGGGTGACCTTGAAATATTGGACCCTTTTACAGTCAAAATCTTTTGGGGTGGGGGGAGGAAAGCCTGAATTCCTGACATTATTAAAGTGGATATTGTTAATTAATATGTGTGAGGGTGGATTACTACCTGGCACAAAACAAGTCATTAATGTCAATCAATCAGAAATACATGGAATGTGCTTTTTCCTTTGTAATAATGACCTCCTGGAAGGACTTTCCCCCTGTGGTTAAAAGGAAATATGCTGAGGGAAGAAAGAAAAAGAAAAGAGGAGAAGAATGAGGAGAGGAGAGGAATATGCAATTAAAGGAGAGGTATTAGGCATGTTGTCGATCTCCCTCTTCTGATTCTGGGCCTTGATTCAAATCTCATTCAATGTTTTCAGCTATGTTGTGTGTTCTTGAGCAATAACCTTGCTTGTGCTGGTTTTGGAAGCTATCAGTTGTACCAGAAGTTCAATTAATAGCCATATTGACAGCTCCCTCAAATTCGCAGTTTACTTCTCCAGGAAAGTTCTCATCTTCGAGAAAGAGGCAGAAAGATCATACAGAACAGGACTTCACCCAGTGCTACCTGACTTCAGTCCAGTGAACTCCAATGATTTGTGGTATTGTGGTGCTTAAGCACTGAACTCCTTGCTTGTGTCTGCAGATGCTGTACCAGCAGAGGAGAAGGAAAAGAGCTCTTACCACTCAGAGCTTCAAATTACCGTGTAACATGAACAACAAGACCTAGGCAGAGGGACGCTGTGGCAAGCAGCAGAAAGACAGGGCTTTAATGTTCTACCTTCTTGTCCAGAGCCTTATTTATCAAAGCAAAGTTTTATCCTAGAACTTGAAGAAAAAAGAGA